TACCCTGACCATGTAATACAGTCCAAATTGCATTATTGGCCCGAGTAGATCCAGCCTCTGTTTTCTATCTTTTTCTGAAAATTAAATGTTGAAAGATAAGCGTCGAGAAGAAGCCCAATCCCACCCAGATAAGACTGATATCCTTTGAAAGGCGAATTGTGTGTGAAAATGTGTATAAAATTGCTTCCTTTGCTGGATGCCTCCACAAACAAAGGGCCCCCTGATGAAGGAAGAGCAAGAGGGGAGTCCGCCATAGAGAGAGGTCCTGTATAGGTTCCTACCAAATGCACAAATACGTCCACTATTGAATTATCCAGGAAATACAATGCAAGTGAATAAAATCCTGGTGAGCTTGGCACCAGGGCTGAAGATGCCAGAAGGGATCTCTCCTTCGGCCCTACCTTTCCTCGCCCCTTGAAATCCCAATCCTTTTCGCCCTAGAGTAAGAGGCTCTGAAAACAGAAAGGTGGGATTGTTATGGTGTTAAAGGAAAGGAAAGAGGCAGACTTTTCGGCATGGCTTTCCTTTCTTCAAGGCCGGCCTTCCAGCCCCAAAGCTCTTATTAGCAGGAGGAGGTGGAATTAATTGGATTTCTGTTTATACGAGTTTTTTTTCCACTAGATGAAGTGTTCAAATGAAGGGAAGAAACCTTATAAAGCTTTCCAGGATGTCTTTTACTCTAATAATAATACTAATAATACTACTACTATCAATGTTATATATCTAATAATAATAATAATAATAATAATAATATACATCACACAGTCCTAAACGCTCGGGAAGTGCTTCACTTGTGATTTTGTGATACGAAATCCAACATATATATCTTGTTCGCTGTGCCATACTGTGTTTTTGTGTCAATATAATAATAATATCCCCTTCCAAACAATATTTGGGGAACAGATTTTCATTTCGGTCCATTGTAATGTTTACACATTTGTGTATCTCCCACTTTGGGGCAGTCTTTCTCTCCCTCCCTCTCCCTCTTTTCTGAAAATATAACTAATTGCACTAAAAATAGTGACTAAAATGAAAGAAGAGGAGGAACTAGGAGGAAAATAAATGGTCCAGTCGAGTAGAATCAACCTGAAGGGTTAAAAATTAAGGTTCAAAGTAACGACTTTCTTCGCCAGGTTTTATTTTCTATTATTTATTAAGACAGAAAAGGGGGTGATGTCAACATATATTTTACTGCAAATAGTAATCGAGTTATAAATGGAGCTTTTTGGGGGGTTTCGCCCTTTTGGCGAAAAAATACGAGACTGTAAAGAGGGAAACCTTTGCGGTAATGTCGCTTGTATATCTCATTTATGGCACAATATTGATTTATTTATTGTAATGTTAATTACTACAATTCCATCTTAAATATGATTTAGAACCGGAGTGGCCTTAAAACACGGCCAGGTCTAACTCAGGGAATCCATTTTCCCAAAGAGATGTTGATTCACCTTTTAGATGGTGTCACACAAATTTCCAAACCTGGACCTCATTTCCCCTAGAGCCCCCCCCTTCTTTCTTGCTGAGAGCCTTTATTTTATTTTATATTATTATTTTTAAAATAAACTAGGGGTGATTGGGGATCAATGGGTTGCTCAGGAGCCGGGCTGCCTTTGCCTAGAACAAAATAATGGGAGATTGTTATAGGCAAAGACTGGGGGATTCATACCTCATATCTAGGAAGGGAAGCATCCTATGGATCAAAAGGAAGGGGTTCATTAAACAATGCCAGACCCCAGAGGATGCAAAACAGGACCAACCAAACAGCACAAACCCCCGGCTTCTTCTTTCCTTCCTTCCCAGCGTTACAGCCAGGGAGACAGGCGCCCATAAAATGGAATAAAATAAACCCAGAGAGATGGGACTACTGGGATATTTCGAGGACACTTCTGCTCAGTGTAAATAAGGATTAGGCAGGAGCCGTGGATGGGGAATGGAGTCCCTGATTAGATTTCACGGGGAAAGTCTTAAAGGGCAGGCAGGCAGGCCGAGGGGGTGTGGGGGAGGCTTGGAACTCGGTGGGTCGCCTGGCGTCTCGTTTGGAGGGGGATTTTGGGGTGGGAGAAGAAGGGGAATTGCTGGCCAAGGCATAAAGAGCCGCCCCCAAAGCAGGAGCATCGTGACCTCCACTTTTGTTTCTCTCCCAGCTCAGACAAAATCTTAGCAATGGCTCTGGTAATGATCTTAAATGGAAGGTGGGGGGTGAAAGGAAGAAGGGGGAAGAGAGGGAGAGAGAGACCCCCCCTTCCTTTCCTTCTCTCTCTTTCTTTCTCTCTGCCTCAGAGACACCAACACGCCGGGCTCTGGCACTATCACCCTCATCTGCACCCACCCAGGCCCGATTTATCTCCTCTTTTCCCTTCCTTTACTTCCAAGCCAATCCCCCAGGAACAAGGGCAAAGGGAGAGCCACAATTTCCAAAGCAGAAATGTCCGAGGATGGCTGAAATCCTCCGGGCCGGTCCCGCCGGAAAAGCCAGCCTCCCTTAACCTGACAATGATGTTGTATTTGAACAGCTGCGATCAGCTTTTTAAAAGGTCTGTCTCATTGCCACAGCGAAAATAGGGGGAAACAGGGAGTGTTTTCAGCAAAGAGGTACGAGAGTCATTGCTTTTCTTTTCTTTCCACCAAAATATAATAATAATAATAGTCCGACGTGTGATCCAATACAACAGCTAGCAGAGTGCTGTGGATTCATCTTATTGTGTTTCAAATAATAATAATAATAATAATAATAATAATAATAATAATAATAATAATAATAAAACGTTACACCCTTCCCATAAATATGGTTTAAGATCCTGGAAGGAGAGAGAGCCCAGAAGGGCGAGAGAAGATGCCAGGAAGAAGGGCGAAAAGGGGCCTTTTAAAACGCCCTTTAGAAAGGATGTTGTTGTCCTTTCCTTGAGGTTTTATTTTCAAGGGGAGAAGGAGGGAGTGGGCGAGGGAGAACAAATAGGGCCTAGAGATACAGATAGACCAAGGGCACCTCTTAGCCATCCCCTCATGGCGAAGGCGCTTGGACTTCTAAAATAAAGGAATTGGGTCTTATTTAAAAACCAAAAAGAAGGGGAAGAGGGGAAATCTTGATTTTTTTTAATTTCAAAACGCAACCTTCACAATCACATTCTGTTTTAACCGCAGTTTGTGTTGTCGGAGATGAACACAACCAGGGCAAAAAGATCAAAATAAAACCTTGAACTGAGGATGCATACATTATATAGAAATGTGAATATGGACACACTGAAACGGCCCAAATTTCAATATAGGGAGACTGCTCGCTTTGATAAGCCGAGAGGATTACATCTCAGGATTTTATTAAATCCTAGGTCGTGGAATGTGTGAGAATCCAGTCTTGTGGGCGCGATCCAAAGTTCACCCAGATCACTTCTAAGACACCCACCAGACACCCCTTTGGGTATCTATCCTCCCCAAATTAGGACTCTCTTTTTGGAGATCACTTCCACGCCCGAAACTCTTCTAAAGGGAAGCAAGCGGGGGAAATTCCATAAGAATTGAAGCCAGGAGGTTGTGTTGAAAAGACTTTCCAGATTCTGAAGGGAAAGAAGGCTTTCCCAGATTTCGTCTTCTGTTTTCCCGGGAAAGGAGATTTCCCTCCTTCTCCGCCCGGCAGAGATAGGATAAGGACGGTTGGTTGGGATTTGTCAAATAAATAAATTGGGGGAACCCAGCCCAAGTGTAAGACTTCCACCCATGACAAAAGTCCAGCTTTTACTATTTGACGATTTGTATTAAAACAAAAATTGACCTTCCTGGTGAGTCCCGAGGAGGGAAAATCAATAATATAATTTTCAATAATTCATAACGCGAACACCATTATGCTAAATCTTCACTATTAATCTTCTCCTTTACAAAGTCTCGATTGATTTGTTCATAAAATATCCTCCCCGTGTGTGGCAACAAGAGGGGTATAACTCTGGAAAAAGCCTCAGAAGCAAGAAAATTACCAAGTGGCCCAAGAATGTAGATGAGGGTTTTATTGATCGCCCTGATTCTTCTTAATCTGTATTAATAAATCCCACAACCTTTTGTACCTTGCACTTGTCAGGAACCAATGCTTTTACAAAACCCATAAAAGGAAAACATCCTACCCCACCACCAAATACCCCTTTGGGGATCCATCCTCCCCAAATTAGGACTCTTGTTTTGGAGATCACCTCCATGGCCGAAACTCTTCCAAGGGGAAGCCAGCGGGGGAAACCCCATAATAATTGGAGCCAGGAGGTTCCTGATTATGAAGGGAAAGAAAGGAACGCATGTGGCGAGTTTGAGGGTGAAGGAGGATTGTTGGAAACTAAGACCCTTTTCCTTGGACGGTCCTTATGAGGACAACATTGGTGTCTGGAGGTTGATGAAGTTGGTTGATGAAGCAGCAACTGTATGATGCTATTATTAATATTATTATTATTGTGTTGTCGAAGGCTTTCATGGCTGGAATCACTGGGTTGCTGTGAGTTTTCCGGGCTGTATGACCATGTTCCAGAAGCATTCTCTCCTGACGTTTATCCTGCATTTATGTGAGGTTGTGAGGTACCGGAAAATTCACAGCAACTCAAAGAGAATATTATTATCTTCATCCTCAGGTGTGATCACCCCATCTTCCGCCTGCTCTCATGCCATGCCCCTGTCTCCTTCATCCCTCCCCGGTTCTGCGCTTCCCTTCTTCCCTTCTTCCCTTTTTGCTCAAACTAGGAAGCATGGTGTTGAAGTACCTGCCTCAGTATTTTCAGAGTCAAAGCACACAGAAGTTCTTCAGGTTCAGGCTGAATTCGGACAGTGGCTTGCTTAGGACTTGGGTTGTTTTGTTTTTGTAATATTTGATTAGAAGGAAGGTGTGTGTGTGTATGGAAGAGGAGGGGGGTTCAGGTCTTTTCTATGCATATCTTTGCCTTAAATCAGCGCAGTGCGCCAAGGATGGCTTTTGAGGGGTGGGGGGGATGAAGCATGGCTTGGGGAGGGGGAGGAAAGGTTGCTGCTGCGAGTAGTCCTGCTGCTTTGGCCGCCTCTGGCAGGGGAGGAGGAGGAGGAGGAAGAGGCGGCGCTGGGCGGCTGCACTTCCGCCCGGACGTCCCAGGTGTCGCTGTTGTCCGCCTTTGCGCCGCGGCCCGGAGTGTCCCGGGCACCACGTGACCGGCGGGGAGGTAGCGGCTCAAGGCCATTTCCCCCTCTCATTGGCTTAGCCGTCATGTGGTTGCGCAGAGGCACCCACAATTACACAGGGAATGTTTTCGTAGAGATGTCAGCCTACAAAGGACACAATCTCTCTCCTCCCAATTCCTCCCCAAAATGTCCTTTCCCAACAGCTCTCCTGCCGCCAATACTTTCCTAGTCGACTCCTTGATCAGTGCCTGCAGGAGCGATAGCTTTTATTCCAACAGCGCCAGCATGTACATGCCACCTAGCACAGACATTGGGACGTATGGGATGCAAACCTGTGGACTCCTGCCGTCTCTGGCCAAACGAGAGGTCAATCATCAAAATATGGGTATGAACGTCCACCCGTATATACCTCAAGTAGACAATTGGACAGACCCGAGCAGGTCCTGCCGAATAGAGCAACCTGTTACGCAGCAGGTCCCCACTTGCTCCTTCACGGCCAACATTAAGGAAGAGACCAACTGCTGCATGTATTCGGACAAGAGGTCCAAGCTGGTGTCCTCCTCCGAGGTCCCTTCGTACCAGAGGCTGGTCTCTGACTCCTGCCCCATCGAGAACCCCGAGGTCCCCGTCCCAGGATACTTCAGGCTCAGCCAGACCTACGCCACCGCGGGGAAAGCCCAAGAGTACAATAACGGCCCAGAGACGAGTAGTTCAACTGTCATGTTGCAGCTCAACCCTCGCGGCGCCTCCAAGCCGCAGCTCGCCTCGCAGGTCCCGATGGAGAAGAAGATGAACGAGAACCCGGGCAGCAACAGCGCCAGCAACGCCAGCAGCAATGCCAGCAGCAATGCCAGCGGCAGCACCACCACCAGCAACCACCACCAGCACCACCAGCACCACCACCCGCAGCACCAGCACCCAGACAACAACTCCGCCAAAGTCGCCCAAGTGGAAAGTCCCGAGCCCAAGTCCGCCTCGCTGCAGGAGGACAGGGGCTGCCTGCCCGAAGCCCCCGTCTCCAGCCCCGAAGCCCAGGAGAAAGACAGCAAAGGTGGGTATCCTCACGAGGCGGGGTGGTCCTCCTCCTCCTCCTCACGGGATGGGGGCACCTGGCTAAAGCCTAAAGCAGCACAGGAAGCAGTGCTTGCCTACTGCCTAGCCCAGCCACCATTAATGGTGCAGCAGGAAAACCCCTCTCTCTTTCTCTCCATCTCTTCCTCAACCCCTCTCTCATTTTCCCTCTCTCTCTCTTTTGGTCCAGGTTCCCTCAAGCTTTCAGGAATGTGGGTGGCAAAAAGATAGAGTAGGGAAGCATCTTTTCATCTCCTTTTTGGGGATGTTGCAAAAACTAAGCATCCCCCTCTCTCCCCCCTTTTGCCTCGCTGCTGCATTAGACCAAACTATAGCTTTCTCTTTTCCCCTAAATCTCAGTTCTCCCTTTCTTTTGGTCAGACTGCGATCGAATATTTCCTTCTCTGTGTCTCCCTGAACACAAGTGTTCAAAATAAGGGTCACTTCTTCACTTTCCCCTTAAAAAAAATGGAAGTGGAGAAAGTTTGACAATAAAGCACGGCCCTTTCTCTCCTGGTCCAGGAGACCCAAACTGAGGTGACCTAAATTGAGTCTGTTAAGGTTAAATAGGACCTGGAGGCTGGTATTATTAAGTCCCTAAAGATGGGGTGATTATTTCATTGTTTTTGGAAAGGGTGGGGGTCCACAAGCGTTTGGAGAAGGGATAATATATATGGTGGGAGAGCCAAAAGCTAAAAAACACAAATCCAACGGAAAACGCCTTTAGTAAAACAAAACAAAACAAAAAAAATCCATTGCAAGCCCTGCTGTGAATTTGGCCTTAATTATATACTGATTAAAGGTAAAAGAATAGCAGGCTATTGCAATTTCACTAATAAGCCCAGGTCAATATTGCCACTAATGAGGGGAAAAATTCCTGAACGGAAAAAAATATAGTTCTGCGGGGTATTTCTGTTTTTTCTTCTTCAAATTTTCTATTAGTGGAAAGTTTATTTTTAAAGGCCATCTTGGTTTTTCCTTGCTAATTGTGGGTGTGTAATAAAATGGATTCCTTTTTTCCAAAATGAATGTGGATTAAAGTGTTTTAACGGAGATGTTTTTGTGAATTAAGTGGCTTTCCAGGTTTGAGACCCAAGGAAACGTGATACCTTGGAAAGATGGCAGGAGTCTTCCCCATGCCATAGAATATTTGGACTCTATTTCTGCATCTCTAGGTGCAGAAGATGCAGCTTATATCCATATAGTAACGCCACAGAAACTACCCAGAGAAGCCCACTGTCTCATTGTTTAATTCGCACCTGGAAAGCATTGTGTCCAAACTCAGCAATGTTTGATTCCCCACAAGCCACCATATCTGGCAGACACAATGGAGGTGGGTTCATGGCCAAGGGTACCCTATAAGCCACTGAGGTGTGTGCATGCATGTGTGTGTGTCTTCTCCCTTTTCCCTTCTTTTTATTTTATTCCTTCCTTTCCTTCTTTCTCCTTTGATTTTGCTAGAGGAAATCAAGTCTGATACGCCAACCAGCAATTGGTTAACTGCAAAGAGTGGCAGAAAGAAGAGGTGCCCTTATACTAAACATCAAACACTGGAATTAGAGAAAGAGTTCTTATTCAATATGTATCTCACTCGAGAGCGCCGCCTAGAGATCAGTAAGAGCGTAAACCTCACTGACAGGCAGGTCAAGATCTGGTTTCAGAACCGCAGAATGAAGCTCAAGAAGATGAGCAGAGAGAACCGAATCCGAGAACTGACCGCTAATCTGACTTTCTCTTAAACCGGTTTCACCTCGGGGGCTGACCAATCGCTGAGGCAGAGGCTCAGTGGCTACAGAGATGTAGGAGAGACTTTATTTGGGGAGGAGGGAGGGGCGGGGGAGGGAGGGAGGGAGGGAGGGAGGAAGGGAGGGAGAGGGGAAAGAGACACCCCTTCATTTGACATTTTCTTAATTTCTGATAGAATGTGACCTTTCGTCATCCTTTTTAGTGCTGCCAGTGTCTGCGTATGTCTCTATGGCGAGTATATATATATACATACACACGTACATATATATATATTAAACAAAAAGAAACCCTAGCACGTGTAATTTATTGTTCTATTTTGTTTTCCTCCTCCTCATCGTAATGCAGGGTAAACTCTGAACACAGTCATTCGGGCTTTTAACTTATTGGAAATGTTGAGCATCCAAATAATGTGACCTTTTTTTTACCCCTCTCATGTTTTTTAACTGACCACGTGGTATTTATGTGGGGGTCTGCGACAGGGGAGATGACATTTTGAATATAGGAAATACTTTAAGGATTATTTTGGGAGCAAAAAAGGGGGGAAAGGAAGATTTTGTTTTGCTTTTGTTTTCCCGGGAGGTGGGTGGGAGGCCAAGACAAGAGGGAGCGAAGAGTCAGAGCAAGAAAGCACATTTTATGATGTAACTTAACAATCCACTCCCCCCGTATCCGTCAGATACTTGTCCTTTGTGCAATGGGATCCTTCATCCTCAGCTGTAGACCTTCTTTATTTGGATCCTTTATTATTTCTTCCCCCCACATTATTTCCCTTGTGGTGCATACGTGGAATCGTAGTGGTATTTAAAGGGTGGGGAAGCGATGTGTCTTCTTCTTCTTCTTCTTTGTGCATGTCCTATTCGCATGTGTAATGCAATAAACTCTGTAAAGTCATGAGGTGCCTTTGGTCTTTCAAGAAAAACAAAACAAAACAAAAATATACCACCACAAGTTTCCAGTTTTCGGGTCTTTTGAGGGTGGGAAAGCAGAGAAAACATGGAAGCGGTGGGGAATGGCTTCGTGGATATAGATCTAGATTTGGATATAGATGCTATATATATATATTCAATTGTTCCCTGTGTATAAATGTTCCCTGTGTATAAATAAGTGTTCAAATGTTTTGGTTGGTGCTTTGAGCGCAACTTGATGAGGAAGCGCTTTAAATGTGAGTCCAAAAGGATGTCTTTAAACGATCCAGGGTTAGCTTTGGAGGTTAAAAAACGAAAGCAACATAGAAACAGAAGCATCATTCACTTCTCTTCTAAATCCCAATTTCATACTGTTTGGAATTTTTTTTTTTTAAATAAAGCTAGGCGAGATTTAGCCTCCTCTATCCCGCCTTTCTTGGAAATACGATTTAGGCAAACCAATGTCCCTTCCACGCAGCTGAATAAAATCCCACATTTTCTGCTTTGAACTGGAATATATGGCAGTGTGGACTCAGATAATCCAGTTCAAAGCAGATATTGTGGGATTTTCTGCCTTGATATTCTGAGATATAGGGCTGTGTGGAAGGGCCACGGATTGCTATATTGTGAGACAGATGCCAATATGCTTTTGATTCCTTTAAAAAAAATTATTCTTCCTTAGGCGTGTTCTGAAAAATAAAAATAATAATCATGTTTCCCCCTCTGAATTTCTGAGCAAGGCCTTCTCCGTTTTTGCCCAACTCGAAAACGCCATATTGTCTATGTCTGTTCGACTCCAAGGCAATTTCGGGTGTTTTTTGCCTTTCTTAAGAGCAATCCTCAAGAAATTGGACCCTGCGAAATAGGGCCAACAGACGCACTATTTTGGGAAAATAGCCCAAGGGGGGAAGGGGCAAGCGGAAAGAAAGGAGGAAAAAAAGTAGAGAAAAAGAACTCAAAGCAATAGCGGCCCTTCCGGGTGTTTGTATGTGTGTTTGCATGTGATTTTGCAAATGAACATGACTCTCAGATGAAGTCCAAATCCTTGCAAATGCTTTCACCTTCAAAAAAACAACATCCAAACCAGGAGGCAAATCCCACTAAAAAGGGGAAAGATTCCTAGGAATCCCTTCCTTGTTAAGTGGGAAATCTGCAAATGGCCTCCACCAAAGTTGGAAATATTGGCTCGCCTAATGACACAGAGAGAGTTCAGAAAGGAACAGTGACATCACAATAATATTTCCTCTCCCTCCTGTCGCCTCCTCCCCAAAATTAGCCCTTCCTTTGAGATGAAAGCTTATCAGGACTTCTTATCAAGAGTCAGTACACTGTCTTTGTTTGTCCAAACTTAGCTATATACATTGTATGGGTTCCAAGCTTAGATGTGTGTCATCTGTATATATGTGCAAATATGTGTAAAGGGTGTGCTTGCTCTCTTTCACACTCCATCACTGGCCCTTGTGAACTGTATGGATGCTGTGTTGTTAAACCTACTCATGTCCAAACGATTTCTGAATGGAGACCGATTACTATGATTATTGTTATTCAACGAAACTTATCATTGACGTTTAGATGCGGGCGAAACGTCAGGAGAAAATGCTTCTGGAACATGGCCATACAGCCCTGAAAACTTACAGCAACCCACTTTCTCGGTCAACTTCCAAACTGCCTTTTAAAATTAATTTGAATTGTGGTCCAACCTGAGAGCTTATGACTTCATTCAATATTATAGGTGTGTGTGGATGGGAAATGTCAATACACACTGTGTCAAACACAAAAGCACACAGGAAAAAAATTAGGAGCTGGCCGTTAGATTATTTGGACACTGTGTAATGTTTCGCCAAATAAAACCTTAACAGAGATTTCTATCTATCTATCTATCTATCTATCTATCTATCTATCTATCTATCTATCTATCTATCTATCTATCTATCTATCTCACAGATGGCCATTTCCAAGAAATCTCTGGCCAATTGGTCATCAAATAACTGGGAAATCCAGCTGTCTTGTCGACGGTTTGGGTTTGGGTTGACTTTGGGGCTCTTTTGTTTTGTTTCCAGTCCAGAGCTGGCCTCCAACTAATCCTACACATTCTCTCCACATTCAAGCCCATCCATTTCTTAGCCCGCCTGAAAACCAAACGTATCTCCAGGAGAAGAAACCAGAATGGCTGCTTAAGTTGTAAATACCGGCGGACTCTTTGTTCCAGGTCCGAGCCCCCCTCCCTCGCCGGAAACTTGGCCTCTCCGAGCAAATAATAAAAGGTGGTAAAACTCGTCTGGATCTCCTTGACTTTTTAGGGGGGTTGGGGTGGAGGAGGTGGTAGTAAATGCTTCCTGGCCACTAAGAGCTTGGGGGCAACCAAGAAATGAAAGCAAGGCCAGAAAATGGGGGTTGTTGGGGAGGGGAGTGGGAGAGAAGTGCCTCTGTTGCGACTTGTTTGTCACGGTTTGTTTACCAAAGCAGCCTGGATGGTGGAGATAGTGCCTCCCTCCCTAAAAAGCAACAACCTAGGCTCCGTTGGAGGCAACTGGGGAGCCTCCCTCTTCCTTCCTCCCTTCCATTCCTTCTCTTCTTGTGTGGATGCCAGCTTTGCAAACCGTTTCCAAGTGCAGAGACTGGCGCTGGGCTTCGTGTCAATGTGGAGGGAGGGAATGAAGGAGAGAGAGAGAGAGAGAAAGGGGAGGCTTTTTTCTTCTCCTCCTCGTGTGCCATCAGTCCATTTTATTAGAGGGACACATTAATCTATAATCAAATGCACCTCATAAAATTTTTATTGAAAGGCATAAAATCTTTGCGGAGAGGTCTTCCACCTGTTTTAAAACAACACAATGGGCAGCAGGCTCATTCTCTCTCCCTCTCTCTCTTTCAATCATTTCTTCTCTGCCTTTTATTTTTTAAATAATCATCATAATAAAAAATAAATAAAGACAGAGAACAAGGAAAGGAAGCCAAGCCTGGCGCTGGAAAGATGGCTGTCATTGCTTTGTGTGCCCCCCCCCCCCACCCCCACCCACTCCACCCCCTTGTTTTATGAGGAGAGTCCTTACCCACGCCCAGCTCAAAACTCCCCCCCCCCTTCCCAAATGTTTTGGCAGTGTTTGTTCCCAACAGGATCTCCCTGGAGTAGAGTGTGAGTGGATCCCTGCCTTCCTTCCTTTCTCTTTCTCCTCCTTTTTCTCTTTCTTTGGCCGAGGAGGGAAGATCTCTTGGGCGTTTTCCACTGGCAAGAGAGGAGCTAAGGCTGCCAGGATTTGAGGTGGCAGGAATGAATGAATGGCAGGCAGGGATCTCTCCCAAGAGGCGAAGAAATAGTCCGCCCCACTCGCGGCAGTGGCAGTGGCGGCCTTTTCTCCCGCTGGGGCCACGCCTGCTCTGGAGCCTGCCTGGGCTTCGGCTGTAGCCTTCATTTTGGGTCTCCCCTCCCTCCCTGCCTCCCCCACCCTCGTCGTCCTTGTGGGTTGATGCGAGCCCCCTCCTCCCCTCCCTCTTCGCCCCCTCCCTTTTGCAGTCCCAGTTGAGCGGATTGATTTACCCGGAGTATTGGTAAATACGGTCACGTGGGCGGAAGGACCAATGGTGAAGAGCCGGGGCCGCCTGCAAAAATACTACGATTGTTCTCCGGGAAAGGCGGCGAATCTTCCACAGTTAAAACAGTGTGTGTATATATATTTTTTTCATTTGGGGGGGAGAGGAAAAAATACTTTATTTATTGATTATATTTTTGGAAGGGGAAAAAGAAACACCCAATAACAACAACAACAACAAGGACCCGTTTGGTTTGCTTTGCTCCTTTCATGCCTTCCGCCCCGTCCGATGCCCTGCCACGGAGGGAGCCTCCACAAACATGTCGTCGAGCGGCACCCTCAGTAACTACTACGTGGATGCCCTCATAGGCCACGACAACGGCGAGGAGGTTTATGGAGGCGGAGGAGGGGGCGGCAATGGAGGGGGTTCGGCCCGGTTCCTGGCAGGGGGAGCTCCCCACCACCCGCACGCGGCGCCCCAAAGGCCTTCTTCCTCTTCCGCCTCCTCCGCCTCGGACTTCGCCTCCTGCAGCTTCGCGCCCAAGGCTTCCTCCTCTTCCGTCTTCGCCGCCGGGTCCTGGCCGCCCGTTCATCCTCCTCCTCATCCTCCTCCGCCTCCGTCGGGGCCCATGCCGGGGATTTACCACCCATACATGACCCAGCCCCATTTGGGGGGGCCTGGAGAGAGTGGCGGCAGGTACGTGCGCTCCTGGATCGAGCCCTTTGCTCCTTTCAATAGCAGCAACAGCAGCTCTGCAGTAACAGGAGGAGGAGGAGGAGGAAGCAGCAACAGCAATGGCACTCTCCCGGTCCCCTCCGCCTCGGCGCCCACCCTCCATCCCTCCAGCGCCCGCCACTATGGGCTGGTGAAGCCGGAAAGTGGGACCCCCTCCGCCTCTGCCTCCGCCTCGGCCGCCCCTGCTTCTACTTCTCCTCCTCCTCCCCCCGAAAGGACCGAGTGCGCCCCTCCCAGGGAGCCCCAAGGCATCGCCGCCGGGCCTGGAGACTTCCCCCAGGGCCCCTTCCTGGCCGAGAAGGCAGCCTCCAGCAACGGGGCGCCCCCAAACCCCGCCGCCTCCCACAGCAACGCCAGCAGCCGCAACGCCAGCCCCAGCCGGGACCCGAAGGAGGAGAAGCAGCAGCAGCAGCAACTTGACCCAAGTAAGTTGGAAGGGAGAACGCCTAGAGAGAGAGAGAGAGCAAAGGAAAGAAATTGCCCCCCTCCCGCTCTGATTTATTGCCCCCCGACCCGTAAGGCTCCAATGTGCAAAACTGATAGTTTTACTAACCTATAAAAACGTCTAGACGCCTCGCCCCGCGCGAGGAGCAACAAGCGCCCATAAAAATAAAGAGAGAGAGAGAGAGATTGAGAGAGAGAGAGAGAGAGAGAGAGAGGCTTCCCCCCTCTCACCACCGACTCCTACTACCATCATTTGTACAGTAAACAGACTGGGCCATTCAGGCTTTTATGATAATTCCTCCTCGGTGGTGAAAAGAGCAGGCATCCTTCGTTAAATTAATTTAACGACCTTCTCTCCCTCCCTCCCTCCTTCCTTCCTTCCCTTCCGATGCCTGCCCTTCTTCCCTTTCCAAACCCAAACCCTTTCCCCTCTCCCCCTCCTTCCATTTTTCTTCCTTCTCTCTCTTCTCTTCCCTTCCCTTCTTTTCCTTTCCCTTCCCTCCTCTCTCCTCTCTTCTCTTCTCCTCGCTTCCCTTCCCTGCTCTCTCTTCTTTTCTCTCTTCCCTTCCCTGCTCTCTTTCCTTCCCTGCTCTCTCTTCCCTTCTCTTCCCTGCTCTCTTCCCTTCCTTTCCCTTGTATCTCTTCTCTTCTCTCTTCCCTTCCCTGCTCTCCTTTCTCTTCTCTTCTCTTCTCTTCTCTTCTCTTCTCTTCTCTTTTCTTCTTTCTCTTCTCTTCTCTTCTCTTCTCTTCTCTTCTCTTCCCTCCTCTCTCTTCTCCCTTCCTCTGCTCTCTCTTCTCTTCTCTTTCCTTCTTCTTCCCTTCCCTCCCCTCTCTTCTCTTGGCTTCTCTTCTCTTCCCCCCTTTTTTCCCCCACTCCCCTCCACAACCCACTCCGCTTCTCCAGATAACCCCGCGGCCAACTGGATCCACGCTCGCTCCACGCGGAAAAAGCGCTGCCCTTACACCAAATTCCAAACGCTGGAACTGGAAAAGGAATTCCTCTTTAACATGTACCTCACCCGGGACCGGCGTTACGAAGTGGCTAGGATTTTAAACCTCACAGAGAGACAGGTCAAAATCTGGTTTCAGAACCGGAGGATGAAAATGAAAAAGATGAACAAGGAGAAAAACAACAAAGGGGACTGAGCGGCGGGAGTCCACGCGGGAACTGCTTTGGGTGGGGGGTTCGATGTCTTCTTGAGGGGTTTCTACTCGCACATAGAGAGAGGGAGGGAGATGAATTATTGTCAACATGCATACTTTCCCCCAGAACTTTCCCGAAGATCCGGTGGCTTTATTTTTATTTTATTTTAAATAGCAGTGACTGTGGTTTGTGTCAAGTATTTTTGGGGGCGGTGGGGGGAAAAAGAGGTCCTGGTGTTGCTAGAAAAGGGGTTTCTCAAGGACATTTCCTTCCTGTTTTGGTTTGAAGATATTGTGAGTGCACGTTTAGTGAGGGGAGAAGGCAAAACTTTGTCTAAACAGCAAGTATTCTGAGATATTTCTAGTCGAGGGACAGAAAGAACCAGGAAAGGACTTCCTTCTCCTCCCCAGACACATTAAAGACAGGCAAGCAAGCAAACCAGGCTGATAGTATTATTGAATGTGAAAGAAGAGGAATCGCAATAGCACGGCTGCCCAGGATTTCCCAAATTGAAGGACTGGAAAAGGAATGAAAGAAAGCAAGGAAAAACAGACTCCCACCTTTTTTCCTTCTGCATGCTTTGTTTTGCAAGAAATGGCTTAGGAGATTAATATATATATATTATCTGAGTTGTCCCTTCACCCTCGTCCTCTCTTGTACAGAGCTTCTTCCAATTGCATTATAGTTTCCCCAAATGTTTCGGCTGAGCCAATGTTTACTATTTTTCGCCTGCGTCACCTTTGTCTCGTTGTTGTGTTTTCTGTTTTGGGATGGTTTTTTTATTTTTATTTTTTGAGTGGCGGGTGTTCTCCTCCCCCTCTTTCCACGGTTTGAAGTTATATAATAAAATCAGCCTTTGTTGCAAAAAGGGAAAGCTCCAAAATTTGGAAGGGAGGGAGGGAAGGAAGGCAAAAAAAAGCAAGCTAAGAAAATGCGTGTGTCCTTGTTTTGTGTCTCTTTCCTTTCAACTTCTCTCCCCTTTGCAAAACCGAGAAACGCATTTACCTGTTAAACTACCCTCAAAACGTTGTAGTTGGGCACACTCTTTCATAAATGTGATATGTAATGTAGAAGGAATTATTTCCAAACCCACGAGAAATTTGTTGTATTAAACCGAGCCAAATCCGGAAGGAATTTTTCCAGATCTTTTCCTTGTATGTACCAAGATCTCCCTGTCTCGTCTCCTCCTTGATATAATTTACATTTGAACATAATTTACATTAGGGCCCTACCACACAGCTCTATATCCCAGGCAAAAAATCTCACATTATCTGAGTGTGGACTCAGATAACCCGGTTTAAAGCTTTGAACCGGGTTATCTGAGTCCACACTCAGATAATGTAGGAATTTATGCCTTGATATTCTGGGATATAGGGCTGGGTGGAAGAGCCCCATTACCCACACATGATGGCAAATCAGGTCCTACATCATGGCCTTTCCTTTGGAGAAGGAGGAGGTGGCCTTTGCTTCCTACTCTGCTTGGTCTGAGAACACATACTTTCTACATTTCTGGTGTTGCATGGAGGGCTGCTTTTCAGAATCCATATAAACAAAAAGGAAGTTCATTTCGCCCTTTTCTCGCCTTGATCTGGAGGCGGGGACTTCCTCAAAGCACCCACCGAGAAAACTAAACCCATCTGCCCTCCACCTCACTCATTCACATTCCTGTGTTGGGGATTTCAATCTCAAAACACCCCTTTGAGGTGAACAGCTGTGCTAGAATTAACAGGAGATTGTATCGAATGTAACAAGAGCCCTGCTTCCCTTCTACACTGCCGTATAATCCAGATTATGGAAACAGATAATCCGCATTATCTGTTTTGAAGTGGATTTTATGAGTCTACACAGCGACAGGAAGCTCCGGTGACGTAGAGTCCAAACGACTGAACGAATAAACAACAAACACACTGCTATATAATCCAGTTCAAGACAGATATTCTGGATTTTATATGGCAGTGTAGAAGGGGTCCAAATTATCTGAATATAACCCTCCATCTGCCTGTGTATCTCCCTCTCTCTCTATCTGGAAAACTGTGAAGTCCATTGGTTTTCCCCTGGATGGATTCCAACACAAGTTGAACTCCTGTTGAAATCAATGGCACTTCCAAGTGTTTCACTTCCGCTGGACCTTGAATTGAGTGTGTGTGACACACACACACTGATGGCAGATCCAAAGCTGTTTCCCATTTGAAGGCAAGGAGAAAGAGGAGGCCCCAATATCCCTCAACCCCCGAGGATCCATTGCCATGTTTTAAAAAAATGCCAGAAATAAACAGAGTGGCCTTTTTCTCCATTTAAAAGAAGATTTAATGCCGCCGCCAAGTCAGGCAGGCCTGGCGGGTCTGTCGATGGTATCTCTCCTCTCCCTCCTTCCCATTGCTCGCCCTCCCCGGCCCCACAGGCGCCCGTGGGGATAAAGGCCTGGAGGGAAAGGTGCTGCATTGCTTCGCGCCTTTCATACACCTATACAACAACACAGGAAGGACTGAGGTGTCATAAAGCCATTGAGGAGGCTAGACGTCTGGACTTAATGAGTTTACGATATGCCAGGGCGCTTTTCTCTCTCCTTCCCCCCCACCCCCACMCCACCCCCTCTGCCATTGGGATGCTTGTGTGTGTTGGGATAAAACACAAAACCAGGCCTTCAAAGTCCGGACTATAAACATCAATGCCTCGCCCGAGGAGGTCAGAGAGACAACTCTCCAGATCCTGGGGGAGGCCATGAAAGCCATCTGGGTGGGGTTTGGGCAACAACAAGGAGCGGGGGGGGGGCAAACATTTTAGATAGGCAGGTTTCTTGTTAGAAGTATTGGAAGAGGTTATGATGAGCATTTGATTCCAGGAAGTATGGAGGAAGCCGGAGAAAAAGCAGCCCCGGGACTGAGAGACAGGCCTTGAAAGACAGTTCAGGGGAAAGTTGAATTCCAGTCTCTTTTGAGCCCAGTCTAAACTTGTGGCCTAATCCCAAGGCCATGTTTATTGATTTCAAAATGGCGACACAGGCAGAAAGGATGGCTATCTGCTTCCTTCCACTCCCTTCACTTTGGTGGAAAAGGGCCTTTGCTTTATATAGCGCACACACACAACAAATGTAATGAGTGTATGTGTGTATGTAATGTGAGGTGCTAAGATATATCCACACACCAAATGTAATGACCGTGTGTGTGTATGTGTGTGTGTATATATATAATGTGAAATATGTATATATCTATATTTCACACACACACACACATATCCACACACCAAATGTAATGTCTGTGTGTGTATGTGTATATATGTGTGTGTGTGTGTGCGCGCGCGCGCGTGTGTGTATATATATGTGTATATATATATAATGTGATGGAGAAATATGTATATATATTTCACACACACACATATATACACACACCAAATGTAATGACTGTGTGTATGGGTGTGTGTGTATATATATGTATAATGTGATGGAGAAATATGTATATATCCATATTTCACACATACACACACACACACACATATCCACACACCAAATGTAATGACTGTGTATGTATGTGTGTGGGTATATATATATATAATGTGATGGAGAAGTATGTATATATATTTCACACACACACACATATATCCACACACCATATGTAATGACTGTGTATGCGCATGTGTAATATATATGTATATATGAAATATAGATATATACGTATTTCTACATCACTATACACACGCACACGCAGTCATTACATTTGGTGTGTGTGTGTGTACATATGTGTGTGTGAAATATAGATATATACATATTTCTACATCACATTATATATATAAAATGAGGTGGAAAGCCTTAATGTTACATATGTGCTTTATACACACACACCAAATGTAATCAGTGTGCGTATGTATATGTGTATGTGTGTGTGTGTGTATATATACACACACACATATATACATATATGAGTGTAATGAGTGTCTCTGTGTGTGTATCTCCACATTCACCAAATGTAATGACTGTGTGTATATATAATGTGATATATATATATACACACACACACACACACACACATATCTATATATACATATATACATACACATACACACACTGATTACATTTGGTGTGTGAGTGTATAAAGCACATATGTAACATTAAGGCTTTCCACCTCATTTTATTGTTGTTGCTGTTGCTGTTGCTGTTGTTGTTGTTGTTGTTGTTGTTGTTGTTGTTGTTGTTATTATTATTATTATTATTATTATTATTACTCCAAGCGCCCTAAAGGAAATCGATCCACAATCCCACGATCCTTGGGAGAAATATCATGAAATGGACAAGTTCAAGGCAGGAGGGTTATGAACGTGGAAATAAATCAGACCAAAAACCCACACGATGTGGGAAGAGTGCGGAATGTGTACAACAGGGCTTCTTGTCGTTCGTTTTAGTGTATTATTTCAAAGTCATTAGATTTTAGGGAGCTTTTTATTGGGTTCAGTAAAATATCTACGACACTCTGGTTAACAAAAAGCAATCCTGCACAATCATGGCGAAAATGTCCCTGTCATTCAAGATGTAGGGCTGCGGTGTGTACAAGCACCCCTTCTTTTTTGTGAAGATATATATATATATATATATATATATATATGTGTGTGTGTGTGTGTGTGTGTGTGTGTGTGTGTGTATATGTATATGTATATGTATATGTATATGTATATGTATATGTATATGTATATATATATAGGTCATTCTTGGTAACATTTGCACGCTCCCCGTTTTTTTTTCTTTTGAGGGGGAGGGGCATGACTTCAGTAGCTTTTAGCCAACAGAGTTTTAAAAACAAAAAACAAAGGAAAAATGTTTCCAGATTTATGGACACCGAAAGCTAATAGGTTTCTTTCACAGTCAATGCAGGAAAAGCATAAAGTCCTGGGTCAGATCAGCATTGAGTTTCCCCACTAGAGGGCAGTGTTGTTCCATTCTCTGGAAATGTTCTGTATCTGAGCAGGATTATGTGTTTATTAAAAGATATACAGACTATGGTACTTGTTTTTTTACCCCCACCTCGACATCCATGGCTTTGGTGTTTGCAGCCAAAACTAAATTAACGTGGCGGTACTTTACTGTGATCTAATTAATTACTCTAGGGGTATCTACCAAGGCACCACTTTGAAAGGTACCTCCTTAGTCTATTAATTTATCCAGGGCACCAAATGTAATTATTCGAGGTTATAAATGTGTGAGGGGAAATGCTAGGTCACCAAGCAATTTCATTTTTTATAAATGTAAAATTCAGGCAGGTAAATTCATTCAAATCATGGGCGTGATATGTTGAACAAGCCTACAGAATAATCAGATAAGGGATAGATTTGTGCTGTTCTGGTATCTTCTGAAAACAATAATTTTGGAGCTGCCTGTCAACCATTTTTGTGAGGCCCTTCCGCACACCCCTATAACCCATAATATCAAGGCAGAATAACCCACAATATCTGCTTTGAACTGGGGCCCTTCCACGCAGTCCTATATCCCAGAATATCAAGGCAGGAAATCCCCACAATATCTGCTTTGAACTGGAATATATGGCAGTGTGGAGTCAGATAACCCAGTTCAAAGCAGATATTGTGGGATTTCCTGTCTTGATATTCTGGGATATAGGACTGTGTGGAAGGACCCCCGGGTTATCTGAGTCCACACTGTGATATATTTCAGTTCAAAGCAGATAATGTGGGATTTTATTCAGCTGTGTGGAAGGGGCCTTAGTTAACAACAGAGAAAGATAGAAACAAAATGAGCTTGAAGGCCTTTTCTGCTCCCTGGAGAAGGTATGTGGGATTTCCTCTTTCCTGCCCTTGAAAAGGGGTTCAAAGGTGTGTCAAAACGACCCTCGCTATTTCGCCATTAAACTTGCATTTGATGCCTTCCCTTGTCAGGTATAAACACACGCACACAATTATGGATCTAAGTAAAATACATCTACTTTTGACAAGGACTTTTGAGTACCTAAAGCACCCGGGGGCCCTTCTATGCAGCCATATAAGCCAGAATATCAAGGCAGAAAATCCCACAATATCTGCTTTGAACTGGGTTGTTTGAGTCCACACTGCCATATATTCCAGTTCAAAGCAGATAATGTGGGATTTTATTGAGCTGTGTGGAAGTGGCCACAGACTTTCTATGCTTACCCAGGTTTACAGAGTGTGCAAGTGGAATTCTCTACTCCTGTGCTTGACATAATACAAATATTTTTTTTTCTTTTTATTGTGGTGATGATGATAGTTCTTCTCTACATATTCAGAAGCAACTTCCAATGAGGTAAGTGGATAGATTTGCAAGCTTGGTCAACCCAGGAAACTGGAGAACCTCCTGCATTCAGAAGACTATATTACAGCTGAAGGTTTATTCAGTGTGAAATTTAACAGTTGACTCTCTTCTCCTGCAGTCTGTGCATCTACACCGAAGAATTAACGCAGTTTGACACCACTTTAACTACCATGGTTGAAATCTGTGGAATGCTGTGATTTGGAGTGCGCTGAGGAACTTGCACTTTGGAGCAGAGAAAGTTAGAGACCTTGTAAAAAGATATTCCCCATGTTTCTATTACACTGAGTCATGGCTTTAAACTGCATGAATTCTACAGTATAGATGCACCCAGCATTATAAAACATGGCAGTACCCCTAGAAATTATGTTAATGATGCTGGTGACAATAATACTATATAGGACATGGCTTTATATTACTGAAGCCTACCTAATGTCTTTCCTGCTTCTTGGCAGGAGGTTGGACTGGATGGCCCAAGAGGTCTCTTCCAACTCTATGATTCATTCCACAGACATATAAACCTTTTTTCCTAGTTCCAAAACACCTCACTACCTCTGAGGATGCTTGCCATAGATGCAGGCGAAACGTCAGGAGAGAATCCTCTAGACCAATTAATAATTTGACACCACTTTAATTTCCGTGGCTTAATTCTATATAATCCTGGGAATTGTAGTTTTATAATCTCATTAGCCTTCTCTGACAAAGACTGCTGGTGCCTCACCAAACTAAAACTCCCAGGATTATATAGCATTAAGGCATGGAAGTTAAAGTGGCGCGTAAAATGCATTAATTCTACAGTATAGATGCACCCTTGGTCTACTTCAGCAAATGTATTATCTATCTAAATATTATTAAATATTAAATCAAATCAAATTAAATATTATTAAATGTGTTATCTATCTTCCAAACAGGCCCTATATCCCAGAATCGGATCACAGGTTTTCTGTTGATCTCAGATTATCTGGCAGTGCAGACTCATATAATCCGATTTAAAGCAGAAACCTGGGATCAGTTCCTGTGATATACGGCCTGTCTGGAAGAGCCCCACTAAGTCGTCCTCTAAAAACCGTCGTCTTCCCAGCTAGTCTGGAAGGTACTCTACAATTTCTGTTTATGCCTATATGATTATGTCTCTGAACACTCCTATTTGGAGCAGCGTTTTCAACAACAGTGTCTCTCACTACTAAGATGGGGAAGAAAAGCTCAACTCCATCACACATTTTATGTCTGAGAAATTTTGTTGCAAAATAGGTTTTTTGGGAGGAGGGGTAAACATATTTAACCGTGAAAGGAAGAAAAGGGGAAACCTGTGAGAGGAAGACATAGAAAGGGGAATTAAAATCTATAGGATGCTCTCATTACAACCCATCCCAGACTTTTCAGCCTGATTCCATATTATGTTTTTAGTGTAATCAGATGGGGAAGCATTCATTTAAAGTCATCTAAAGAGGAGAAAAGGTGTGTCTGTTTTAAATGTCTCTTTCCCATATCTATTGAAGGTAAAGTCTGATTTAACTTGTCGAAAGCTTTCATGGCCGGAATCACTGGGTTGCTGTAAGTTTTGCGGGCTGCAAGGCCATGTACCAGAAACATTCTCTTCTGACGTTTCACCCACATTTGTGGCAGGCATCCTCAGAGGTTGAGGGGTCTGTTGGAAACTAGGGAAGTGAGGTTTATATATCTGTGGAATATATCGAGTGGGAGAACTCCTGTCTGTTGGAGGCAAGTGTGAATGTTGCAATTGGCCACCTTGATTAACATTTAATGGCCTAGCACTTCAAAGTCTGGTTGCTTCCTGTCTGGCGGAGTCTTTTGTTGGAAGGTGTTAGGTGATGGTTTCCTGTCTTGAATTCCCCCGTTTCATGCCTGCCAAAGATGTGGGCTAAACGTCAGGAGGTAATGCTTCTGGAACACAGCCATACAGACCGGGAAAACTCACAGCAACCCATCTGATTTAACTAATCATGGGACCTAGTAGCTATGACAGTGTGGTTCCATCCAAGGTGGTAAGGTCAAGAGAAATTCTTTACTTTCAGTTTGGGGATCCGGAAAAGCCTTATATCTATTCATGGAAAAGAGTTGCCTCAGTTGGGTCAATGTTGGAATTTCATGATAGTCATGTTTTCAAGTGTTCTTAGTTTCATGTACTCAAAGAGGAAAATAGTGGCCAACCTTCTCCTTTTGGAAAACTGGTACGTTTTGGAGACACAAAGATAATTCTCCGACTCTTGATTTCATATGTTTATTTTGTTTTTATTTATTTCATGGGCTCCAGCATTGATTTTGATGAAAGTTTGCCTAGGATCGCAGTCCAAATGCATGCTTACGGTTCGGTTCATGTCGCCATCCCACCTGCCAGAAGGTCAAGCTGTCTGTTCCAGAATATCCAGTTCGCCCCATGGTCCTCCTGTCTCCCCAGTAAAGAAAAAGGCTGAGCAAACTGGGTCCAAACCCCCACCTTTGGTTCTGGAAAGGGAGAACTGTTACAAGGGAAGCAGCAGAGCACAACAGCACTGCTCGGGCCTCTGCTATGACTTCCTTGATCCGGAGATTTCAGACTCAAGCAGTACCGCCAGTAATCCCCCTCTGATGCTAAAGCGGTGATTATTAATGGTAATATAATAATACATTATTAAATAGCTAATTAATAATAAATTATGGATGGCGGTGATGACGACGGAGGCCTCCCCCACTCTCCTTGGCTTGCCTGGTTCACCGAGTTGTGAAATGATGGCAAGCGTATTCATGGACATGACTTCCATTAAGTGTCAATTAATCCGGCCTCTGCAGCCAGGCACGCACTGCGTCAAGGGTAAATAAATGTGCAACCAAAGCCTCGCTCTCTTTCCTCCAGTCTTCCCTAGGCCGCTGTACATTCTGGTTTTGAGACTTGGACTAAGGCTGGATCTACACTGCCATCTCACGCAGTTTCAGCATGCAGATTTACTGCATTGAATGGGATTAAATATGAGTCTAGTAAAGGTAAAGGTTTTCACCTGACCTGAAGTCGAGTGCTGTCGGATTCTGGGGGTTGGTGCTCATCTCCATTTCTAAGCCAAAGAGCCTGCGTTGTCCTTAGACACCTTCAAGGTCATGTGGCCGGCATGACTGCATGGAGCGCCATTACATAGCAGTCTACACTGCTATATAACGCAGTTGATCTGCGTTATGTACATAGGGACTAAGGGGCCCTCCACACAGCCATATAACCCAGAATACCACACATATCCCAGAATACCAAGGCAGAAAATCCCACCAAATCTGCTTTGAACTAGGGGCCCTTCCACACATATCCCAGAATACCAAGGCAGAAAATCCCACATGATCTGAGTGTGGACTCTGATAACCCTGTTCAAAGCAGATATTGTGGGATTTTCTGCCTTGATATTCTGGGATATAGGGCTGTGTGGAAGGGTCCTGAGTTATCCAAGTCCATACTACCATATTTTCCAGTTCAAAGGAGATAATGTGGATTTTTATTCAGCTGTGTTGATTCTGGAGTTCTCGATCCTCCTAATTTGGAAGCCTGATCTTAGACAAGTCACGCTCTCCCCGGCTTCAGACGGAAGGCACAAGCAGCTATCTCTGAACAAATCTGCTAAGAAAACCCCGTGATAGATGCACCCTCTGTTTGAAATGACTCCATGGTACACAACCATAAATTGATGTTCTGCTCGCCCTCCTTCCCACCCTTCTTCCTCCTGCAATTCTATGGCGAAACCCATYTCCCCAGATGACTGTCTCTTCCTCCGCCTTGGAAATCAATTGCAGCCTCCTCTTCYCCCCCCCCCCTCTCTCTGCCCACCCCTTTCTCCCCGTCATCCTCTCCCACCCCCTGCCCTTGTCCCTGGGGATGGTTTATGACCTTCGGGGCCCTGCCTGTTACCGTTGGAATTGAGCTCTCAACAACAGCTCCCTCCAACCCTGGATCAGGAGCTTTTGTCCCCCCCCCCCCATCGTCTTCTTCTCTAACAATTCTACCCTTTGATCCGGAAGTGGAAACTCGCTTCCCTATTTCCGAGGAAGGAGATGCTGCACGGGTGGGTGGGATTGGTTCATATTTTACACCCTTCTTCTTGAGGTCTTCTGGTGTGCTCCCAGGAGCTCTTAAACCTTGGCCTGAAAGAACTGCCCAGAAGTCCCTTCAAAGCGGTGATCCCCAGAGCCACCTAAAATGCAGCTTTTTAAAGGCCCCAGGTTATGAGGTGCCCATAAAATTACGCCCACACCCCGGTGCTTTGGGGGCTCTTAAACCTGACCTAGCTCGGAGATCCCAGCGTGGCTTAATCCAGTTTTAACACAGGCCTGTTCTCCTCCTCTCTTTGGAAGTCGGCCTACCTTTCCCCCTAGATCTTGGCCCTGGTTTTTCCTCTCTGCAGAGGAATTAATAAGCGTCCAAAGCGCTGGAGGGCTGGGGTGGAGAAAGAGGCAGAGAAACGGAGGCTGGGAGGGAGGAAGGGAGAGGAACCAGTGGGGCAGACTGGACTGCTTGTTGTGTGGGACTCTCTGCCTCTCCGTCCGCTTCTCCTTTCCGCCTCGGGAAAGCTCCCTGTGCCTTGCCCTGGACTCCGGCCCTTGTGAGTGAGTGAGTGTGTCTGAGTGAGTGTGTGCCAGCAAGCGAGTGTGTGCCTAATAGGAAATAGTAAAAGCAGCGAGGCAGGTCAGAGATCTCAGCTGGCGGGCCAGTCAAGCAGCGCCTCCGCAGAAGCAGCCAGGAGTAAAGTGGGAGTAAGGGCAGAGTTGCAGCAGGAGCAGCAGCAGGGCCTCGGCGGCTGCTGCCTCGGCGCCTCCGCCTGCCCGCCCATGAGCTCCTACTTCGTCAACCCGCTCTACTCCAAGTACAAGGCGGCGGCGGTGGCGGCGGGGGGAGGAGGGGGCGAGCCGGCCATCAATCCCGCTTACTACGAGTGTCACTTCGCGCCCGCCGCCGCCGCCCTCCTCTACGGCAACAGCGCCTTCCCCGGACCGGGCGGCAGCAGCGGGCCGGAATACTACCACCAGCACCACCAGCACCCGCCCGGCAGCAGCCCCTCCGCCTACAACCAGTCGCTGGGTCCTCCTCCTCTGCCTCCTCCTCCGCCTCCGTCCCAGGCCTCCTGCGCCGCCGTCCTGCCTTGTCCCGGGGAGCCGGCCAAGTTTTACGGATACGATAACTTACAGAGACAGCCGGTTTTTACGACGCACCAAGAGGCCGAGCTGGTCCAGTATCCTGACTGTAAATCGTCCAGTGCTAATCTTGGCGAGGACCCAGAGCTCTTAAATCATGGCGCGTCTCCGGCTCCGATGTTTCCCTGGATGAGACCACAAGGTTGGACGCGGGCGAGGTGGCTCCGCTCTCCTCCTCCTCCTCCTCTCGGCCTGCCTGCCTTTCCCCCGCCGCTGCTTTCTCTCCCTCCGTCTTGTCCCCCCCTTTGGAAACAGGGCCGCTTGCTTCTCCTTCAGTTTGCCTCTTTCTCTGCTTGCCTCCAGAAGAAGCCGCAAAGTATTGAACCCCGGCGCTCTTTCTTCCTTTTCCTTTCCCTCACTTWCTTTTTCTTCCTTCCTATAACTACCGTTGCATTTATTGATACGCTTAACACCGAGAGACTTTCTTTTTGCCTCCAAAGTTAGTCACCAAGTATTTCATGCCCACATTATTTCTTTCTTTCCTGCCCGTCTTTCCTCCCTCCCTCCCTAAACTACACACTTCTTTACTTCTTTAGGAAAGAGGTGTGTAGTTTAGGAATATATTAATATATTTAGTTTAGGAATATATTAATATATCAATATATTTAATACAGTGTGGTTTTTTTTCCTCCAAAAGAAATCACAAAGTATTTATGATAGGCACTCTTTCCTTCCTTCCTTCCTTCCTTCCTTCCTTCCTTCCTTCCTTCCTTCCTTCCTTCCTTCCTTCCTTCCTTCCTTCCTTCCGTTTCTTCCTGTATTAAATTTATTAATGAGGGCAAACATTAATACATTTAATACAGAGTGCCTTTCTTTGTTTTCCTCCAAAGGAACTCACAAAAATATTGTGTTGTCGAAGGCTTTCATGGCTAGAATCACTGGGGGCCCTTCCACACAGCTGCGTAATATCTCACAGTATCTGCTTTGAACTGGAACATATGGCAGTGTGGACTCAGATAAACCGGTTCAAAGCAGATATTGTGGGAATTGGTTCCTTGATATTCTGGGTTGCTGTGCGTTTTCCGGGCTGCATGGTCATGTTCTAGAACGGCAGGAGACAGGCCCGTAGTCAGGATTTTGATGGGAGGGCTGAGTTTGATTGGGGGGGAGCTGGGGATCTACCCTAGCAAACCTTTTGTATCGTTATTCCAATAGCCCAAAGCATATGGGATATATTGAGCATGGTGATCAGATCATGATATGAATAAACATAACAGTTTAAATAATGTACCAGTAAGGCCTTCTCGCAGACCACCCTGAGAATTTCGGGGTGGGGGCTGAATCACCTCAAGATCCCCCCTGCTTCTGGGGGATCTTGCCTGCTTCTGGAACAACGCCATACAGCTCGGAAAACTCACAGCAACCCAGTCTCAATATATTTATTATCATCACCTCTTCCTTCCTTCCTTCCTTCCTTCCTTCCTTCCTTCCTTCCTTCCTTCCTTCCTTCCTTCCTTCCTTCCTTCCTTCCTTCCTTCCTTCCTTCCAATACCTACTGTTGCCCTTATTAATACATTTAATACAGAATGCCTTTCTTTTTTGCTCGCCAAAGAAACTCACAAAATATTGTGTTGTCCAAGGCTTTCATGGCCAGAATCACCGGGGGGCCCTTCCACACAGCTGAATAACATCCCACAGTATCTGCTTTGAACTGGAATATTCAAAGCAGTGTGGACTCAGATAATCCAGTTCAAAGCAGATATTGTGGGATTTTCTTCCTTGATATTCTGGGTTATATGGCTGTGTGGAAGGGTCCTGGGTTGCTGTGAGTTTTTCGGGCTTATGGCCACTTTCCTGAACGTCGGGACAGAACACAATGCTTCTGGAACATGGCCATACAGCCCGGAAAACTCACAGCAACAATAAATACCTAGTCAATATTTATTATCATCACCACTTCCTTCCTTTTCTACTTCCTTCCTATAACTCCATACTGTTTTCATTTATTAACACAAGTAACACAAAGTGCTTTCTGCTTCTTTGACACAAACTCCGGGATTTACTGGTGCCCCAGCCCCGAATTTGTGGGGAGAAAAACAAACCGAAACAATCCAGACTTGGGCCCCTTCCACACAGCTGAATAAAATCCCACACTATCTGCTTTAAACTGGGATATGTGGAAGTGTGGACTCGGATAAACCAATTAAAAGCAGATATTGTGGGATCTTCTACCTTGATATTCTGGGTTATATAGTTGTGTGGAAGGGCCCTTGGAAAGTCCTTCTTTTGCATGAGATGCTGGAATGTTCCTCCTGGAATTTTTATTTAGGGCCCCTCCGCACAACCCTATATCCCAGAATATCAAGGCAGTAAATCCCACAATATCTGCTTTTGAACTGGGTTATCTGAGTCCACACTCAGATAATGTGGGATTTTCTGCCTTGATATTCTGGGATATAGGGCTGTGTGAAAGGGCCCTGAATAAGCTGAAACTTTCCCAAGGGCTGGCATTAAGAGACTCAGGCTGGATTTACACTTCCCTGTAGCCCAGGATCTGATCCCAGATTATCATGTTATCCCAGATTATTTGGCAGTAGATTGATATAATCCAGTTTAAGACAGATAATCTGGGATCAGATTCTGGAATATAGGGCAGTGTAAATCCAGCCTCAGAGTGCACCTAGACTGTAGAATTAATGGAGTGTGATACTGAACTGTCAGGACTTAATACTATGGAATAATGGGAGTTGTAGTTTTGCAAGGCCTTTATCCTTCCCTGCCAGAGTGCTGGTGCTTTACAAAATTACAACTCACAGAATCCCATAGCATTGAGCCATGTCAGTTAAAGCGGTGTCCCACAGCATTAGGTATAGGGACCTCATCACACTAGCAGTGGTTCTCAACCTGAGGTCCCCAGATGTTTTTGGCCTCCAACTCCCAGAAATCCTAACAGCTGGTAAACTGGCTAGGATTTCTGGGAGTTGGGGACCAAAAACATCTGGGGACCCCAGGTTGAGAACCACTGCACTAGAGAATGACTCCACTTTAAATCCGGTTGCTGCCTCCTGCAGTAATCTGGGATTTGTAGTCTAGGGAGGAGGCTTTAACAGCCTCACTAAACTATGAACTCCAGAATTCTGCAAAACGCAGAAACCGGATTTTAAGTGGAATCATTCTCTAGTATGAAGTAGTTGAAGTACCCTCAGACCCAGCCTCCTTTCTGTGGGCTCTTCCACACAGCCCTATATCCCAGAATATGGAGGCAGAAAATCCCACATTATCTGAGTGTGGACTCAGATAACCTAGTTCAAAACAGATATTGTGGAATTTTCTGCATTGATATTCTGGGATATTGAGCTGTGTGGAAGGGCCCCCGTGTCCTGCCTTCATTGGAACATACAGCTGAATAAAATCCCACATTTTCTGCTTTGAACTGGAATATATGGCAGTGTGGACTCAGCTCACCAAGTTCAAAGCAGTTCTTGTGGGATTTTATGCCTTGATATTCTGAGTTATATGGCTGTGTGGAAGGGCCCTTAATCTCCCTGTTCGCTAGTGAACGATTTGTGGGACGTATTATTTCAAAGTAAGAAACGTTTAGGGTGTTATGAAGAGGGAGGGGGGAACCACTGCGCCCCTGCGAGTCTTTATTGCATTTTTGGGATGGTTTGGTAAAGAAAACGCTGTGTTTTCCTCCCCGAAACAGCAGCTCCCGGTAGGCGGAGAGGAAGGCAAACCTACAGCCGCTTCCAGACGCTGGAGCTGGAAAAGGAGTTCCTTTTTAACCCCTACTTGACTAGGAAGCGAAGGATCGAGGTCTCCCACGGGCTAGGACTCACCGAGAGGCAGGTCAAGATCTGGTTTCAGAACCGGAGGATGAAATGGAAAAAAGAGAACAACAAGGACAAATTCCCCTCTGCCAGGCAAGAGGGGAAAGAAGGAGAGGACGCCGAAAAGGAAGCCCAGGAGGAAGTGGAAGGGAGAATGGAAGACCCAACGGATTGAGGTTCTCCTGGCTTCTCCCTCTTCCTTCCGCCAACCTTGGCCAAAGACAATGAATAAGGGGGGGGGGGTCTCCCCCACTTCCACTACTCAGGCACCTTTGCTGCAAGGGCCCTGCCTTGCTTCTTAAGCTACCTGTGTTAGAGTTTTATTTTATTTGTCCCTGCACCGGGTACCCAATGGGGAGTCCCACGTGGCGGCTGCTGATTCTGCACCTGTCCCCACCCTCACCCCAACTCTGCCCTTCACCTGAAGTTTGATCCCGAGGGTGAAAAAAATCAAGGGATTTTCTACCTACTTTGTAGGTAGGGGGGGGGGCTTCTTTTCTATATCAAGGATGGAATGTCAGGCCTATCCAAAGCTTTTGGGAATCGAATCAACCTAAGTGCAATTGCAATGTCTCTGAAATTTTCTTTGTCGAGTTTGAGGGAAAATAATCAGATATTGATTGATATTTTAACAAATTATGAAATATTTTAATTAAGTATTGATCTTGAAGGATCAGGAAATCAAATAAAAATTAATTCCAAATGTAATATTCAGTCCGGGCTCCTTCTCTCTGCTATTTGTTTAGCTGAAAAGGGTGAAATACCTCAAACAACCCTTCCATGTTTCAGTCAAATCCACGAAGGTTGTGAAACCTGGGCCTAGTTTCTTCAAAAGACCCCAAACCAGGTTTGTTTTATCAATGATCCAATAACACTATGTTTGATGCTGGGATATAAATGTTATTTCCTAATTGGTTCAGTCATAAATACATGGAAATAGTTTATTAAACTGCAAAAACTTTGTCGAAGGCTTTCATGGCTGGAAAGACTGGTTTGTTGTGAGTTTTCCGGGGTGTATGGTGGTGTTCCAGAAGCATTCTCTCCTGACGTTTCGCCTGCATCTATGGCAAGCATCCTCAGCGGTTGTGAGGTCCTCTGAGGATGCTTACTATAGATGCAGGCGAAACGTCAGGAGAGAATGCTTCTAGAACCTTGCCATATAGCCCGAAAAACCTACAACAAGCCAATAATAAAAATAATCATGAGGACGACTGCGGTATTGTGTGGTTTCCTTGCTGTATGACCTTGTTGTAGCAGCATTTTCTCCTGACATTTCGCCTACATCTATGGCAGGCATCGTCACAACCTCTGAGGATGCCTTCCATCGATTGAGGAGAAACTACAGGAGATAATGCTTCTGGAACATGGCTATGCAGCCCGGAAAACTCACAACAACCTGCACAAACTTTGTGACAGGATATTCTGCAGCACATTTTGCTTCAGTTTTTCCACCGAATATCTCATTGAGTCTCAACCAATTCAACATAGTTTGTGGCAGACAAAAAACGAAGTTTCTGGAGTAGAACAACTACTTTCAAACGACCTACTTCACAATTAAACAGGAAATAAGACTTTCAAAACAAGAATAGATTTCCTCCCCAAATTTTATCACATAGTGTAATCCTACAACAGCCTGGAAACGAGAGCCAGCAATTTCTAATGGTTTGATTACTGGGTTATGACTCTGGAGACTAGGATTCAATTTCTCACTCAGCTATGGAAACCCATTGGGTGACCTTGGCCAAGCCTGAATGCATCCTCAGCCCTTCTGAACAAATTGTGCCAAGGAAACCCCAGGATAGGAGAGAATTTCTCATTGATTGCTGCAGGGCTTTTGCCTCCTAAAGCTACGAGAAGAGATTTTAATTAAAATTCCAGTATTCAAGCTCTTCCAGGCTTTTTGCAGCAGATTTCCTTGCCTTTAGAGTTTTTGGCTACTCTACCATAACAATATTATTTGTCCTTTGATCTGCCTTGTTCTTGAGCCCCAGCCATCAGGGTTTCAGGCTGTTGGCGTCTTCTGTGATGGAAATTCCTTCCATAAAGTACATTTAGATCTAAACCTTGGGAGTGGATGATGAACGCTCAGTTCCACCCCTTAATACAGCATGGCTTCAATTAGTTAATCCATTTTAAAGTAAGCAGGAAACAAAAGCATACTAGTTTTCCTTATTGATTTTTCTTGGATTAAGGGTTTCTTTTTCTTTTTCCTCTTGGAGAATCAGGCTCCAGTCGCAACACAGACAAGAGTAACCGGTTTATATTCATGAGCATGAATATAAACCTCAGTTAGACCTCAGAAGAAAGCGACATTAAAATTAATGGGGCTTCCATGTCTTCCAATTGTTCATGTTTTAACCATCCCATCACTGTGATAATGGAGCCTCCATAACTAAGAGAAGTAAACCCTGTTACTCAGGTAGTGGGTCAATGCCATGCTCTGCCTCAGGATCCTTCCACACAGCCCTATATCCCAGAATATCAAGACAGAAAATCCCACAATATCTGCTTTGAACTGGATTATTTCAGTTCACACTCTGATAATGTGGGATTTTCTGTCTTGATATTCTGAGATATAGGGCTGTGTGGAAGGGCCCTCAGAGCCTATATAACCTCAACTTCCTAGAAGGCCTTACTGGTACATTATTTAAACTGTTATGTTTATTCATAGCATGATCTGATCATCATGCTCAATATATAACATATGCATGGGAGTATTGGGGTAACAGATACAAAAAGTTTGCTAGGGTAGACCCTCTTTCACTCAGACTCACCCCCCCCCCCCAAATCAAAATTGCTGCCTTCAAGAGTGTAAAGAGATTACAGCCCTATGTCCCAGAATATCAAGGCAGAAAATCCCACAATGTCTGCTTTGAACTGGGTTATCTGGGTCCACACTCAGATAATGTGGGATTATCTACCTTGATATTCTGGGATATGGGGCTGTAATCTCTTTACACTCTTGAAGGCAGCAATAGGATGGAGTAGTTGGGTCTGGCAAGGCAATGGGGTTTATTTGTTTAGCACACTGAATAATTTTCCTAATTTGTGTGTATGTATGGGATTCAAGATAAAATAATGAAAATCTAATGTACTGATGTTTTTGTTTAGCTAGAGATCTAAACCTTTCATATACACCCACAGCATCTCATTAGTTATTCTTTTTAGTATTGATATCGGTCTAAATTTTTCCGACAGTGGTGTATCCCACAATCCCAGGGGGCAATATTTCATCCCAACCATAGCCAAACCCAAGTCAATCCTGATAAGGCGAGAGTGTAGTGAACCCTGATAGAGTTGCCTTAGAAAATGACTGAAGGCACAAAACAACAACAGCAACTTATAAAGTTACTTATTCAAGTAGGAAATATAATTCAGGCGTGTTGTAGGTACTTGTAAGGACAGTGGTGATGGTTTCACTGCTGCTAGTAGTAGTTCTAATTACTATTAGTAGTGCTAAGAGCATCAGCCCCTACTTTGGGTTGCTGTGAGTTTTCCGGGCTGTGTGGCCATATTCCAGAAGCATTCTCTCCGGATGTTTCACCCACATCTATGGCAGACATTCTCAGAGGTTGTGAGGTCTGTAGGAAACTAGGAAAATGAGATTTCTCCCACCCTGGACATTATTCCACATATATATAAACCCAATTTTCCTAGTTTCCAGGCATGGGAGGTTTATATATCTGTGGAATAATGTCCAGGGTGGGAGAAAGAACTTTTGTCTGCTTGAGGGAAGTGTGAATGTTGCAATTGCCCAGCTTGATTAGCCTTGGCAGCTTCAAACATTACTTTACACATATTATCTCTTGCCATCCTTCTTACTGGGAGACCATAGCTTTGCCTAAGACCACCTAGTGATTTCGTGACTGCCACAAATTAGAAGTTTGCATCAAAAGCGGGAGTAACAATGTTTACAGACATGCTATTATTCCGGAATGTAAGAAATAAACTCTTAGTGGGGATGGGTGTGTGAGACAAACCATCCAGACCAATTTGAGCTCACCAGTTCACAGTAGCAGCCAGAGAACATACCAGACTGTATGAAGTTAGCATTTATAAATAAGCTTGGCTCAAGGGTCTTCAATGAACCAATGGTGAAAATATTCTGGACCTATGGCCAAGGCGTATATATCTATCATCAAAGCATTGTATATGTCTATAACCAAGGTATTGGATGTTTGCCTTTTTGCCTGGAAGCCACACTGAGTCCCCCCCCCCGCCCTCCCCCCTCCCCAGATAGCTCGGCCTATAAATAAAGATGTATTGTTTATTATTATTTATTATCGGTAGATAGATAGAAATATAGATTCAGATCTGCTGTGGGCAAGCGTGTGTGTGTGTGTGTGAGAGAGAGAGTCTACATATATGCGCCCTACGGATACACATACATACATACATACATACATACCACAGGGGGTAAAAACTATTGGAAATCCTACTGTAACCAATACAGAAATCCACCAGTAACATCAAAATGTAGAAAGGATTATTCCTTACACAAATAGAATGAGATCAACAGTAGGGTTTGCCCCTCTCAAACTACATACGAAGCCCTGTTATTACTGGCTTGTGTTTATTTACACGCCAACAGCGTTTTACATTTGTCTCCTTCCCCCAGCAAAAGTGGCATTTCTTCCCTTTCAGCTCTTTTCCAACCCTATTGCAGGTCCAAAAATGGCGGTGTTTTCGTGGGTCTATGATCTGGCAGAGGTTTCTCTCGGCCATTTTCAATCCTTCAAGTCCCGAAAACGACTGTAGGAGCCACGGACAGAGTAGAAAGCTGACCCTCTAGATTGAAAACCCTCCTTCTTTCTCTTCCCTGCTCTATTTGGAGGGCATTCCTTCCTTTCCAATACCGCTCTCTCCCGAGCCATTTTCCCCTCCTGAAAAGTATTAATAGTCCCCCAAATCAACTCCATTTGAAACATTATGGGTTTGCTGAGGAATTGAGTCCCCAACCCAAGTGCCTAGTTGTGGCTGAATCGGGACCTGTGGCTATTGATGGCGTTCTTTTATCTCAAAGGAGATTAAAAAGACTTGAAAGGGAACGGATTGCAGGGCTTTAACCAAAACTGTCTCCATTGCTCCTCTCTTAACAAGGGCTATTGAGGGGACTTTATGGCGACCCTATGAATGAGAGGCCTCCAAGTCGCCCTGCCATGGATTGCAGGCTCATGGCTGTGGCTGAGTCTCTCTCTGTCCATCCTGGAGGCAGCCATCCTCCCTTCCTCCGCTTCCACGTGGGCTGGGAAACTCGGCCACGGAGGGGGAACTGCGGCAAAACCTGGGAAGCCACCCTTTTTTTGACGCAGAAATTTGCATAACTGCGGCAAAGCTGTCGCAGTGGGTCAGGCTGCGGTTCTCTTCGAGCAGGCAAGCTCCTCAAGAAGGGCTGGGAGGGATGGCGCCCTCTTCCCCGGTGCAAATCTGACCTTTCTAACAAGTTTTGGTAAATATACATATATA